ACGGGCAATATAGATTCAATTGGTAGTTAAATCCAGACATCTATAGCCCAAATGATTAGGAGAGTAACCAAGAAAAACACACTTTTGAGTCATAAACGAGAATTAAATCCAGACATCTATAGCCCAAATGATTAGGAGAGTAACCAAGAAAAACACACTTTTGAGTCATAAACGAGAACTTGTGACGATTATATGGACGTAAATAGGGGTAAACAGCACCTCCGAAAACTCGTAAGAAAAGAAAATCAGGTGGTTGATTGTAGAGGACGGTGTATGGAATTTTATTTTGGATGGAAGATGAGGGAATTCGATTAATGAGAAAAAACTGCTGTTTCAAAAGCAAATTCCCAAAATTTGAAGGGCGCACAAGAGTGACCTAAAAGAGCAAGGTCGATATCCACAATTTGGCGGATTTTTCGTTCGGCCGTTCCATTTTGTTCGTGTGTGTGAGGAAAAGCAAGACATTGAATGATGCCTTGATTTTTTAGGAAAGTGTGAAGAGAGCGGTATTCGCCCCCAATCAGAAAGAACCGATTTGATAGTGGCTTGAAATTGTTTTTCAACAAGAATTTTAAATTGTTGAAAAATAGAAAGAACATCGGTCTTTTGTTTAATTGGAAAACACCAAGTGAACAAGGAAAAATCATCAATAAAGAGTACGAAATATCGATAACCATGATGAGAAAGTAAAGGTGCAGGCCCCCAAACATCGGTATGGATCAAGTCTAGGGGCTTGGAACTACGATGAAAGGTCAAACGAAGACTACTACGATGCATTTTGCCTAGACAACAGGCAGAGCATTTTTCTGAAAATGTTCAAAAGAGCTACATGGTAATTGAAATTTATTCACTAACTGCCTAACAGTGTTATAGTTAGGATGACCTAAACGGGCATGCCACCTCTCTAGATTGGCAATAAATGTTGTTGGTGATGAAGATTGGGAAGAGGACCGACCACCAAACTTATAGAGGCCATGCTCAGTTCCTCCGCACAGGAGTGTCGCCTGAGACAATCGATCCTTAACAAGACAAGAAAAAGGGTGAAACTCAATAGAACAATTATTATCACGACAAAGTTTTTGAACAGACAGAAAAGGCTTGGTGAGAGACGAAACACACAAGACATTTTGTAATTGAAGATTTTTGTGAGGAGTACAATGAAGAGAATGACCAACATGTGTAATAGGAAGAGATGTACCATTGCCAACGGTGAGCTCATCAGGGCCATGATATTCATTGGAGATGCTCAAGGAGGAAAGATCCGGAGTGGCGTGATGAGTGGCACTAGAGTCGGGATACCATTGAGCATTAGATCTACCCGGAAACGGGGCAGCAAGATAAGCTTGAGGCAGATTAGGAAGCAGGCCATCAGAAGTAGGGTTGGAAGCTAGGGTCCGAGGAACAAAGTTGTGATCGGCGCAAACAAGTGGCAGCCGTATGGTTGGAATAACCACACAATTGACACGCACCACCACCAGGAGAACCACCAAGACCGGTGACATAACCACGACGACCACCACCACGATTATTACGGCCTCCACAAAAACCCCTGCGCAAATGATCGCGACCGCCACGAGAAGAAGAGCCTATTTGCACATTTGTGGATTGTGCGAGAAGAGCGGACAGTTCCGGTGGTTGTTGAGATTTCAACAGCAATTCATAAGCAACCAATTGACACAATAATTAAGGAAAGGCAACCGGATCGGAGCGCTGTTGAAGGGCACCAATAATGCCATTAAACTCAGACCCTAATTTTTGATAAATAATCCCATTAAATTCAGCTGGAGGGATGGAATGACCAGCCATAGCAAGGGAATCAGCAAGAGATTTTGCCTTATGAAGGAAAACCGGAACGGACATGTCGTCCTTGGAAAGCTTATGAAGTTCCAAAACAATTTGGGTTTGCTGGGCATAAGAAAGCAACCCATAACCTTGCTCCAACACAGTCCATGCCTGAGCAGAGGTTGAAACTCGTAAACTCGGAAAAATCGATTCCGAGATGGAGGAGAGAATCCAAGAAAGGAGCAATTGATCTTTTTGCTGCCAAAGAGTAAAGGCAGGGTTTGGTTGCATTGTTTGAATGGCTGGATCAGTGATGGTAGGGGAAGAAGCAGGTTTCGAACCATCAATAAGAGATTGAAGGTTTAACATTTTGAGGAGTGGGGTAAATTGAAGCTTCCAACTCGCAAAGTTTTCACGTGAGGAGAGCTTGATAGCAAAGGATTGGTGAAGAGACGGCACATTGGTCGAGAAGGAGAAGAGAGAAGGAGCGGAAGCAGTGGCAGTAGTCCCCGAAGACGAAGAGAAAATCGACGGGGAAAAAATCGCGGATAAAGCAGCGGTGGACATAGTGGCGCAAGAAAAAGAAAAAGAAGATAAGGAGAGAAGAGAGAAAAAAAGAAGGCTGATACCAATTTAGAGTCTGTGAAATTAATCAGACTTGATTGCCTTCGATTACAATTGATACAACATATATAAAGATGTACGTACAAGATAAGTACAAGAGATAGCTTTCAACAATTATACATGTGATCCTCTAATCTGATAACTACGACAGCTAGACTCCGTTGATAGGGCCTTGGAAGACCAATACCTCGTGGCCCCACTGATTCCTCCCCGTTTGGGGGTTTCATTTCCGGAAAGAGCCAAAGAATTGAAGCTCCAATGGAAGAGAACAATGGGGAAGAGATGAACGAGAAAGTTATTGTCGTTTATTTTGGCGATGGCTCAGCTTTTCAAGAGGTGAGGAAAGCAATTGTTACGGAAAACATAAGGATGAGGAAAGCAATGGAAACGAAGGAAGTGGTAGCAATGAAATGAATCTCAGCGCACGGAACAATGGAGATTAGAACATCAGCCGCGATGAAGAAATCAGTAACAAATCTCCGGTTGCTAGAGAATTTAATTCTAACGATGGAGGAAATTAAGAAGAGAACGAGGACGAGGACGACGACGAGGATAAAAGTTACGGAATCGTATTCTTTGAAGAAGAAACTATGAGCGAAAAGGACTATAGCGATTCTGACGACAGCGATTACCGAGTTGAAACTGAAGAAAGTAGTGATGATTAAAGTCCCTAGGTTTACAATTAAAGTTAAGTTAGATTTTCTTTTTTTTTGTCCATTTTGTTATCGTTGAATTTGTCGAAGATGTTTGAACTGATGAACTGATGATGTTTATGAGTACTGAACATTGGAATGTTAGTTTGTTTAATATTTCAATTCGAAGATGGTCTTTAATTTGTTAGTGTTGGTGTTCTTAACGAGTGAATCGATGAGAATTGCAATATGTATTAAGCAACTTTTTTTTTTTTTTTGCTCCAGATATGACTGCAAAAATAAATGTAGATAAGAAAAGATTTATTTTGAAAGAGAATTAAATGTTTATTTTCAGTGATATTGAATGCATTTAACTGCCTGACAATCTAAGGAGAATGTAGTTACCAATTAAATGAAAGGGACTGTGGTCTGTGTTCGCAGATTTCTATTCTTGATAACCTACGATTGGGGAATGAATTGGGCCTGATTTTTTTGTTCATTATATGGTGGAAAATGTTTTCAAAGTAAAGAATTTTGTTTTGTTGACAATGGATACATTGAACAAGAATGACTACGTTACAGAGTCTTCAAATAGAAATACATTTCCTATTTTAAAGACTGAAGACTAAAGGTTTTTAAGGACTAATAAAGTGAAGCAGGAAATTAAAGATGGACATGTCTAAAAATAAAAGTATTGTAGGGATACTTTCTGGTAAAGAGACATTATAACTTTGGCGGAACTTGAAGGGCTAGTTAATGATTATTAGGTTTTTGGGCTTTGGAGGATGAACGGGCTTCCGCTTCCACGTTTAGCTTGTTAGGTATGTCTTGGAGGGAAAATTTACTTATTAGTAACTGAAAAAAAAAATGAAGAACAAAATATGTTTAGGGTTTAAATTGTGGCCAAAGATAGCTTTCTCGCGCTTCAGAAACGCGAAAACATAAATATCCGCGTTTTGAAAACGCTAAAAATACAAATTCGCGTTTTGAAAACGCGAATATATGTTTTTCGCGTTTCAGAAACGCGAAAAAGAAGGAGACGTAATTAATTTAACATAATCCTAATTAATTAACTTGAATCAATAAGATTTCGCGTTTTGAAAACGCGAAATCAATTAAAAAAATATTTTATTTCATAAAAAAGAAAATAGGCATAAAAATATGATTAATTTGACTAGTTTAAAATGTTATAGGGAAATTGACTTTAAAAAATTATTAAATTTGAATAATGGTAACAGAAAATTTTAAAATTATAACTGTTAATCATTAAATTTTGAATAGAGCTATAAAGAGGAATAATTTTAATAATACAAAAATTAAATTTTGAATAAGAATATAATATTATAATTGATACTCATTAAATTAAATAGAGCTATACTAAATATAAATTATTAAAAGTTTGATATAGTTATTATAATTTATTAATTTTTTAGAACATTATATAAAAAAATTTAATAATGATTATATTAAAAAATTTTATTAAAAATGTAATCATTATTTTAAAAAATAATTTTATATGAAAAATTTTCAATAATGATAATGACGTAATTTTATGGATTTAATGAGATGTAATTTAATTTACAAATTATTTTTATTAATTATGATGGTTTTAATATAAGAAAAAAGCTTAAAATAGGAATAAATTTTATTAAATATTTATTATAATTTACCAACACTTAAGATGAAGCAACTATTAACTATGAAAAAAAATATAAGAAAGTTTAAATATGTGTTTCGATTTGATCGGCGAAGATGTGTTTTATAAATATTAATTATTGTATTTACGATGCAGGTGAAATCAAACTATTAAGAATATTAATACAAGTCATAACAAAATACTACAAGTCATAACAAAAGGTAAAAAAAAATAAAACAAGTCATAACAAAAGGAAAAAAAACAGAAATGTACAAAAGGGAAAAAAAAATACAAGTCTAATAATACTACATAAGAAGTCTAGTACCCTACTTCTTCTTGGGCTTTTTAGCCCGAAAAAGGCTATAAGTCAATCTATCGGGCTCCTTCGTCACTCTCTGGCCTTTACTCACAGCCAACGGTGGAGTCCCTAGAGTCTGACTCGATCCCTGCTCCTCATGGCGCTGATAACCCTGACCCTCAAACTGATCATCCTGGTCTGCATCCTCAGCCTCATCCTCACCTTGACTCTCACGCTCACCCTTAGCTGGGTTATCAGTCTGATGCTGACCCGCAACACCCTCGAACATACTCGAAAGAAAGTTACTCGTGTAATGTATCGACTGGCCATCTAGCGAACTCTGCTGAAACCCAGAAAAGTCAATAAAAGAATCTCCAAACTGACGCTGAGAAGTCTGAGGGGAGGAAAACTGAGTGAAGGAAAAATTGGACTGCTGGTGCTGGGGAGACATAATCGGACGGTAAAACGCCTCTTGGGTCGGCGAAGAATGATGTGGAGACTGATGGGATGAATGATGTGGAGACTGATGGGCTGAATGCTGTCGAGAATGGAGTGGAGACTGATGTGGAGACTGATGGGATGAACCGCTAGTGAAGGGAATATGAGACTGCTCATGCTGGGAGGACTGATGTGGCTGAGATGATGTGATTGTCTCTTGCCCCCCACGCCCACGCTGAGACCTGCGCGAACGCCTCGGAGGTCTGGGTGGTGGATGTTGCTGGGTCGGGTCTACAGGTGCAAGTTCTTGACTCAAAATGTCATGAACCTCAACATGCCTATCGAGATCGTGACGTACAACATTTGTTGCATTGACGGACAACGCCCGCTCAGCAACCTGGGCAATCTCGCCTAAGCGATCATAACCAAAGGAGTCCGCGTCGAAAGTACGCTGACCTATAATACTCAGACTACGAACGTCCTCCATCAATGTGGCCTGAAATTTTTATTAGAAAGAATCATAAATCGACAACAGTGTTAATAAAAAGAACCAAATGGACTGTAGGCGAAATACTCACCATGAGGCGCAAGGTCTCTGCAGAACCGTGAAAACCCCTTGCATTTTCAGAGTCCGTCGGATCCGTAACATACTTCACAGTAACCTGATGGTACCACAAGAGATACTCCGCATCTGCGGAAGGCTCGCCAACATAATCATCATCAGTCCCCACAACTTGGCCGTGGCGATCATTCCAAACCTGGAGATATATCCCTAGTTGTTGTAACCATCTCCTATCGGATCCTCCAAACGGCTTCCTCTTGAGCAGGCTAGTAATTTCTGCCGCAGTGAGAAGTAATGCGTCGCCGGGTATCCGCTGGTGATAACCAAATTGGCGAAATACCCTACTGGGGTTGTGTGGCGCAACGACCTCCCCGCAGATGAGCCATGTCTGAGATCGCCATATGCCCTGTCCCACAAGACAAACCCTGGCAATACGACCCAAAAGAGTCGTGTACGGCATCCATACAAACTACAATGGTAATTAAGTAAGAGACGTGTAATTAAAAGTTCGACACCGTTAAAAAAAATGAATAAAACATAAGTTATACTAATTGAATAGAATACTAACATCAGTCTCTGCGAGAACTGCAAGCTGATCCCGGTACGCGGCCAAATTGAACCGCGTGTTACCTTGAACTTTTTTCTCACGGGACCACCTGCAAGGAGAAAGTAACATTAAATTGAGACATGACAGTACAAATCAAAATGTCAAAATTTACGAAGGTTTGATGTATAAGATTACCTCGTGCCCAATGGACAATCAGATGGATCGAGATCCCCACCCAGTATCTTGGGCTGAACCGTCAAAATCCGCTCCCGTGCCCGAGCTAATTCAGAATAAAGAAATCATTAGCTAAAATCACCAATAATAATGGGAGAATATAAAATGAAACTAGAGAGAAATGAAAAGATAAAATACCGAAGAAGAATCACACAAACGGTAATAGCCTTGCGAAGCGGCCGAGAGATGACTTGGACATGCTGCGGTACAAGTAACATAGTGCCGCACTACCCCAACCGTACTCGAGCAAATCTCGGGAGTATGAAGAAAATGCACAAGATCGAGAGGAAAACTGTTTCTCGTAGTGTTTGAGAACAGTAATCCGCCAACGAGCCATCCAACAAAACAACGGGCTCGCTGTAGGTGTGCATCGTCAGGGGACAGGTCCGTCAAAGGATTATTCTCTATGTGAGTCTTTATTTCAGCGATGGAAACACTCGTCAATCTAGACTCCTCTGTCTGGAACCTAAATCCAAACATCCTCTCCAAATAGGCTGCCCAACCACCATCAGGCGTGGTGTGATATCCTGTAACTGGACGTCCATCAACCCGGAGACCCAAAAGAACCTCGACGTCCTGGAGTGTGATAGTAGCCTCCCCAAAAGGTAAATGAAATGTATGGGTCTCTGGGCGCCATCGCTCCACAAGAGCTGTAAACAGGGCATGGTCACATCTGATGGACCCAACTCAAGAGAACGGTCCAAAACCAAATTTCTCAATATATTCCTTTGTCAACCTCGGTGCATCTTTTATTAACTTCCACGCGGCGCTATCTACGCGCCTGGGCTCTGAAATCCCTATATCATACTGTGCACCATGGAATATATTGTGTGACCTATGGGCGTTTTGGAGAAACAACAAACTACTGTCTCTGGGTCCCTGCCGTAGCTTCTTTGAGGTAGATTGGGAGGAAGAAGATGATCCAATATCCATGGCTAGTACAATTTACAAATAGTTTTAGTAAATACGGATTAATATTATTATTCTAATCTAATTATCCTATACATTAAAAATTCCAACCCTACATTTTAGTAAATACGGATTAATATTATTATTCTAATCTAATTATTCTTTTATTAAAAATTTTAACCCTACATTTTAGTAAATGGCCTAATAATATTATTATTCTAATCTAATTATTCTTTTATTAAAAATTTTAACCCTACATTTTAGTAAATACGGATTAATATTATTATTCTAATCTAATTATCCTATACATTAAAAATTCCAACCCTACATTTTAGTAAATACGGATTAATATTATTATTCTAATCTAATTATCCTATACATTAAAAATTCCAACCCTACATTTTATTATCCAAAACCCATATTCTAAACCCAACCTAATCCCGAACCCAAAATCCACATTCTAAACCCAACCCAAAACTCATATTCTAAACCCAACCCAATCCCCAACCCAAAACCCACATTCTAAACCCAACCCAATCCCCCAAACCCTAAACCCCCTAAGCCCAACACCCCACAAACCCTAAGCCCAACCCTAAACCCTAAACCTAACCCCCCTCTACACCCCGCATTCCTCCGCCGCCCCCTTCATTCCGCCGCCGCCCCCCCTCCCCTTCATTCCGCCGCCGCCCCCCCTCCTATTCATTCCCCCGGAATTTTTTTCACACAACCCAATCCCGAATTTTTTAAAAAATTCCACAATTAGAACACCTATAATACTAGATCTATTAACGGTTCATTAAATCGGGAAATAAAATTACAAATAAGCGAACACAAAATTTATAGGAATCGAAAATTAAAACATGAATTAAAAAAAACGATTGAACCAGAGCAAAAAACACAACTTACCTCGATATATAGCCTACAAAATGTAAAAAATTGATGCCGAAACAATTCCGGCAACTCTCCCAGAAAAACCGCCGGTTTCAATGGAGTACGCCGGATATATGGTTCTGTTTGAGAAACATCAACCCGAAACGCGAAAACTTTATTTAAGCACCCATTTTCGCGTTTCTAAAACGCGAAACAACCTATCTTTAAACAAAATCGCGTTTCAGAAACGCGGAAATAATGCCCTCCCTATTTTCGCGTTTCAGAAACACGAGAATAATACTCCCCCTTTTTTCGCGTTTCAGAAACGCGAAGATAATACTCCCCCTTTTATCGCGTTTCACAAACGCGATCAATTTAAAATTTTAGTAAACACCGTTTAGTCTTTAAGCCGGATATATGGTTATATTAATTTCGGCGATGAATAAACAAATAACTAATTTTCTTACCTTTAGTGTTTATCAAATAATTAGTGCTTTATTCGACATGTATATATCCTATAGTAATAATTAGTAATATTACTAAAATGAACTGCGACGTTTCGGTTTTACAAAAATATTACTAATATAAATTACAGAAACATCCAAACCAACACACTAAAACAAATACAAACGCAAACTGATTCATCCTCTGAGGTTTACTACATGAATGTTCAAAACAACACAAAAATACGAACACTAACAGAATAATCACTACGCTTCATCATCATCATCATCAGAATTTATATTAGGCACACCATGAATTCCATATGGATCATACAGTTTATCAATACCGGTCCTGTCAGCAGGTGGATGAGAAAAAGGGCATTCCACAGCATCATGATCTAAATTTCCACATCGTGCGCAAACTCTCGCATATGGGCAAGCCCTGGCATTATGGCCTTGTAGCTTACATAAACTGCAAGTTTGGAGTCTTCGCTCGCCAGATTTGCTTGTATAATCCATCACACCTTTTTCCGATTCACACGCTTCCGACCTCGGCCAGCATGGTGGACAAGTTTAGTGTCATCGGCCTGATCTGCCACGTTGCCTTTGGCCATGGTTCCATGATTGGGTTGAAGTCTCCAGAAAACTGTTGGTACCATTGATGCGTAGTGTAACATGGATCAAAAAGTGGGAAGGGATCGTCACCTAGCTCACGGGCAACTCGAAGTGCATGGGAACAAGGAAATCTGAAAGTCCGCCACCTTCCGCAAGTGCACTCTCGATTTGCATACAGCACAACTTGCTTCGTCGGCCTTCCATGGTTGATTATCAGGTGCTATTGTAACCACTTCGTACTTCTGGTTTCTCTTGCTAAACCGGTTGACCTTTTGCCTCAATGATTTCTTCCGGGCCTCTTCATATAGTTTCATTGGAGTAGGAGGTAGAACAGTCTGACATTTTTGGATCATATCAATGTTTGCCTGAAACAGGTTGTTGCTTTTCTGAAAGGATGCTAGGATCAATGCTGTGATCGGGAAGAATCTAGCATCTTTCAGCACATTATTGAAACTCTCTGAGATGTTAGTGGTCATTTCTCCCCAACGATGCCCTCCATCGTGTAAACAGGTCCATTTCTCAACACCCAGCTTCTGAAGCCAACGAGCAGCAGGCTCATTTTTTTCTTCTAATTTTTGCCACTCTGCCAAGAACCTTGTCTTTTGCGTCGCTGAACCAATCATTTGACAGTTGCCTCGCAGTTTCTCCTTTCGAAAATGCCCAACCAAGTTTGCTTTAACATGCTCTAGACAATAACGGTGGACGCCCATCTCTGGGAATTTTTGCAACATGATGTCCATGGCAGTAAGGATACCCTGATTTTGATCAGAGATAATACAGGTCTTCCTATCCTGTAGAACAAACTTTTTCAAATACTTCAAAAACCATTTCCAGCTGTGTATAGTCTCTTCGTCCACAAGAGCAAATGCGATGGGAACAATCGTGCCATTTGCGCACTTTACGCATGCCACAATTAGTTTTCCTTTGTAGGATCCTCGCAGGTGAGTGGCATCGATGGTTATTACTGGCCAACAAGCATGAAATAACTGTATAGATGGCCCAAATGCCCAGAAAACATACCTACATACAAACCTTTGCGAGCTTCCTGAATTTTCCTTAAACTTGAATTGCACACAAGTGTCCGGGTTTGACATGAACAATGCATCGAGGAAGCTGGGCAATTGTTGAAAATTACTTTCCCATGTACCATACAGAGCCTCAAGTGCTTTTCTTCTACCATGCCATGCCTTCTTGTAGCTACATTCGACTTGGTACCTCTTCAAAACTTCTATTTGAATTTGGGCAACTGCAAAATCTGGATGTTTTCGCACATTTTGGGCAACCAGCCTAGCAATCATAGAAGACGTGACGTTTCGGGACTCGTTTCTCTTGTTTGCCCCAAGACAGTTGTGGGAATCGGACCATACCACCATTTTCCAAGTATCGGTGGCCTTCTGTAGCGAAACTCGCGCCTTCCACAGACAATCATAGCCGTGAAGGCGCTCTTTCGGATATTTAGGTCCACACGTCTCGCATTCGACATACCATGTTCGTTTAGAGCTCGTTTTCACCCGGAAAGTCCGACCATGTACCAAGTTCCATTCTCCCACTGCCGCTTGTGCCTCAGGCTTGTTGGCGAAATGTATATCAAGGCCTAGCATCAACGGATTGCCATCCCACATTTTATTCCATCGTTTTCTACTTCCTCTAAAGTCTTGTCCCATCCACTTATGTCGTCGAAAACATATGGGACTGAAGAAGATGACTCAAAATCAGTGTCGTCATGTGAGTCCTCATCCGATGGGACGTACTCATCATCACTGCTTTCGACACCCCCGACATCTTCATCTTCATCTTCATCTGCATCTTCATCTTTATCTTCATCTTTATCTTCATCTTCATCTCCATCTTCATCTCCATCTTCATTGTCTTCAACTGTTCTACCACCACTAGTGCTGGCACCAATATCCTGGCCAGATGTACTTGCATAAACATGGCCTGTTCTCTCAATATTTTTAGGGTACAATTCTGGCCATTTATCAGCACAAAGATAAATGAACCGAACAGTATTATCATCATTAATGTGCACACGAGACCTTTTTCCTGACCTCTCCTTCCATACCAAAGAAAAATCAATATACAGCCCTTCTCTATCAACTCCGATCACACTTAATACCTTATCAACAAGTTCCGAGAAATCTAACATACGATCAATGATAAGATAACCGTCCGGCGCATCTCGCTGTACCGTGATAGTCCCATCAGGTTCAGTTGTATAAGTAGTATTCCAGTATAATTTCCGACGAACTGTCTCCGTGAAAGACATTTGCGGCCTGCAAAATCAATTCCTACGAAATCAGTTTGCGGCCACAGTATTTATCCCGTTTACAGATTTAATAATTTTAAAAGAACAACTATACGCCTGAATTTACAAATCATTTGTATGCTCAAAATTAATATTAAATCTAAACCTTATGCCCGAATTACATAATTTATTCTTATGCTATAAATATTCAAAAATTCAATATCATTATTATAATTTTATTTTATTTTACAAAAATCGATGTACAATAATTTACAACGCTCATCTAATTTAATATTCTATTAACTAATATTTCTTTCAATTTACTTTATCAGCCTCAATAAAAAACCATCGTTAATTGACTAAATCACAATTATATATTAACTAATAATAATGCGTAAATCATCCTATGCTCATAATAAAACATAAAAAAGTACATGTTTTTAATAACGAAATAAACTTACCTCAATGTTAAAACTTAGAGTTTTAAATAGGCTTCAGGACTCAAATCAATCTTCTTTAACCTCGGAGCAACTTCTCAATTTGAAGAAAATGAGAGCTTTCACGAATTCAGCAACTCCTCCGCAGTGAAACTTAAAATCGGAGTTCAACAGAATGAAAGAAATTTGGAAAGAAAAATCGGAGCTGAACAATGAAAAAAATTTGCGGAGAAATGCTGTTAAGTCGCTTGTTTTATATATGAATCTTAAATTTCGCGTTTAACAAACGCGAATACATTCCAGACTTATCATCAAAAATACACGTGGAGACGGGCGAGTGGATGAGGAGATTTTTTGGATATTTTCGCGTTTTAAAAACGCTAAATCTATTTTTCGCGCTTTGAAAACGCTAGAAATTTTGTTTCGCATTTTCAAAACGCTAAAATCTTATTCGCAAAATTTACAATTTTAAACTTACAGATTTTCGCATTTTTTAAACGCGAAAATAGTTTCTCGCGTTTTGAAAACGCGAAAACAAAGTTTCGCGCTTTGCAAACGCATATTACGTTTTTCGCGTTTCTAAAACGCGAAAAACTGATTTTTCTTTTTTTTTTTTTTGCTTTCGACCCGTTTGAAGCTGAGTGGATGGAATTAACATTATTCGCGTTTGTGAAACGCGAAATGTTAATCTAATTTGATTGTTTCGCGTTTTCAAAGTGCGAGAACATTATATTTATCTACAAAATAAACCCTACACATTTTTTGTTCCACACTTTTGGGTTTGGCTCACCCAAAAGTCAAGCACCCGTCTTGGAGTCGTAAATCGGCAAATACTATTGCTCACAAGTTTTGTTAAGAATAGCACGTTAACATTTATGACTTAGTCTAATCCATCTTTGTCAGTTGCTCCCTAACATTAATATTAATAATTTTCCTTTTTCACTTTCAGAGAAAAAAAAAAACCGAGAAAATTAGGCACAATTTAGGGAAGGAATGAAATACGTGCTCTTATTGGTGGATGTAAATTGTGTTAGGAGACTTTTGAAAAGAAAACAGAAAAGAATATGAGCTAAATTGATTAACGAAATTCATAGTAAACTGAGTAACAAAAACAAAAGACAGGCGCGAGTAAATGTTCTGTTCAATCAGTCGAGTGTGAAGCGAGAGACATTAGTTGGACAAATTATAATTAAACCCTGAAAAGTTACTAATTACAATAAGAATAAAGTTAATATTGCGTATACTAATAACCCCAGAACAAAAACTGTTAAAGTAACGAGTTTGAGAATCATCGAGACACCCTCCTCCGGCTGAATTTTAAAAAGGATCTTCTGAGAAGCTCTTTCGATACATGAGAAGCCACCTATTAATAATTAATTCATTGATGAAATCTTAAAAGATGGATTGGCTCCTTAATTTGTTTGTTGAGTTTCTATCAAATGGTTGAAGACAAATGAAAACTATGAAGTCCGTGAAACAGCAAACAAGATATAACGTGGAATACTGGAATGCATGGCAATAATATCGTGGCGGAAAAGGTTTAAACAGCTTTGGTTTTAAAGTTTTTTGTCCTAAGCATATATGATTGAGTGGTTTTTGTTCTGAATATGAAGTATCACTCAATTATATATGACTTATGAGAGGAGAACCGTTGAGGTAACCAATGTTGGGGAAGCAATATTCATTACCTTTCAAAGGAAGAAAAAATGAAAAATGAATTAGGGTTTGCATCAAGCGCAATCAAATGAAAAATGAATTCAACTGGAAGACGTCGAAGGTTTTGTTAAGAAATGGATCCACGAGGAGGACTCGTGCAGTCTACAGTTACAAAAGGTTTTGAAAAATGAATTAGGGTTTGCATAAGTTTTTGACTTACAAAAATTAACGTAATTTTACTTTGTTAATTTGTCAAAAATGATTATAAAATTTCTCTAACTAAAATCGAGGTCTTACATTCATGTCATTAGTAGATTCTTTGGTTGCTCTCTACACGCTTTGATGAAAAAGGCTCAAACATTTATCACCTTAGCCTCTTTCTTGTTCATGATATCAATTTTTTTATTTTACTAATAGCATCCACAATAGTTTATACTATTAGAGATGTAATACATATTTACATTTTCATTTTGCATTATTACATTTTTTTTTTCTAATTTTGCCCACATTGGTTTTAACATTATAAAAGTACAATAAAATTATATCAGGACAACCTCCATTATATA